GCCCAGAAGTGTTCCCCAGACTGTTATGCAAAGCCATAGTGAATATTTACAGCTGGATACCTCACAGGATGTTTTTTTGCTTTCTTTTTAAACCTACTTTTTTGCTGCCAGCACTGTTCTGTAATGGCATGGCACAGCTCAGTTGAGGTTCAGAGGAGCTGAAGGCCGTACCCAAGTTCTCTGCCTGTTCCCCAGACTGGCCAAAGGGCCTGGCCACCTGGAGAACAGGCATCCTCAAGGCTTTCAGGGACTGATGTCAAGGACATGAGAAAGATGCCCAGCAAGAAGTCACATAGATCCAATGGATAAGAAATACTGGCACAGGGACCTGCATGTGACTTTGGGTGGCTGGCATGGCCCCGAGGGAACAGCTCAGCACAGGGATGATGCTGTGTTTGGTGAGGATTTACTTCATTCATGGTAGGTTTGATCTTGAAGGCTCTGCCTATTTGGGTTCTCCATAGTGGTGAATCAACCGTTAGACTCTCGGGAGGTTGTGAGAGCATCTTCCTAGCCATAGGCATCTTGGGACATCTCAGGGATGAGACCCCCTCTGAGACACTGACTGGTTTCAGCCTCTACCATTTGGCAGGAGATGGTCCCTGTGCTCCTAGTGATGAGGTTTTCTTTCTATTTTGTGTTACTGGAGGGGAACAAAGCTACAGCCCTACATCTGTGCAAGAGACGTGGGATGAAACCACCCTGACGAAGCACGTCCTCAGCACTAGCAGGAGCCTTGGAGCTCAGCAGCTTGGTTTTAACATGCCCCCAGACTCCTGTAGCTGCATGAAAACCACCCTAAAACCAAGCCAAGCTCAAAAAGCTCCTCATGAACCAGTGAAAAGCTTCCTGCTACTGTCCTGGTCCTGTCCCTACTGAAGCCAGATCTTCTGCTAAGTCCCCCAAGCAAGTGTGTGAAAACCTGCCAGTTCCCCAGGGGAGGCTGGAAGCCCAAAGACTGCTCCAGGATGAGATCAGCCATAGTCCTGGACCATCTGGGTTTTCCTAGGGGAGGTGGAAGGCTGTAAAATTACCAGAGGGTTGATATTACATTTTTATATATATATAATCTATGTCTATATTCACACACACATGTTCATATGTGCCTGTATATATACGTACACGTACACACACACACCCCATATACACACTATGCATAGATCTGCCATCTGCCACTATTTATAAGGGTTTGATTAAACAGAAAAACAAATTTGCCAACACTGATCTTCCAATCTCTATTAATATTCAGCAAATAAAGAAGTCTAAACCCCTTATGATTTTGTTTTCCTGGTTGCATAAAGGCACTTTCTGATGATGTGAAGCAGAACTTTGTTAAAAATGCTGTAACTGCAACGATTCCCATCACATCTGTAGCAAGCGCTACACAGGCACCGGTACGACGCAATGTCATTGCTCGCTCCTGCTGCGTAGTGTTTGATGGTGTTTGCTTTTTGCTTTGACGCAGAGGAATAAAAGACGAAAACCTGCAGCTCTGTGCTATGCTTTTAGGTCTCCCTGTGTAAGACAGTCGCTGTGTTTCTGCCCCATAACCCGATATGGGTCCCAGCTCAGGGCTTGCAGCATCAAACGATGCTTTCGTTTCCAGGGATGCCTGCTAGAGCATCTAACAATTCAGGCAGGACACCAGCTGTAAGCATGTCATGAAGGTTCCTGCAATATGTCAGTTGTTTTCTTTTCTCATCCAGGGATCAGAAATTAATTTTGATTAAGGATATTTAGTAATTAAACACTGCCTGACCTACAGCACTCTGGCCTCGCCATGCAGGAGGGGAGCTGCTCGCTGTCAGCCTGACTTCTTTCCTGAGCCACCAGCAGCTCCGCTTCCCATCGCAGCGTGTTGTCCAGTCTCTGTTGGGGGCTCCGGTGGTGACCGAAGGGGTGGGAGATGCGGGGGGTTTGCTGTTGATCGTTGGAGGTTCCCAACTGGAGAACGTGTTGGAAAGAGGGAAGAAATGTCTTTTGTTAACACATTGGAAGACAGCAATAAATTGGTCTGAAACTCCTTTTCTCTCCTGACTTCCATATAAAAATTGTGCCCTGTGAAACGAACGCAAGACAATACCAAAAAAATAGAAACGAACCAAAATAAAAACCCCACTTACGCTGCCCTCTCTCCTTTTAGACGAAGCTATATCCATACAGACGTCTTTCCATCTTTACTGCTTGAGCTCCCTTTCTCCAAGCAGGCCTTGGGTTTAGCACCTTGTTTCTCCTGGGCAGTGTTGACCCTGTTCTGCTCTACCACTGTGCCGCCTGAGGCAGGACTGCTGGTTCGAGAAGGTTGCGTGTTGGCCTGGGTGCTGCTGTAGCTCTGAAATGCTATGTCTAACTGCTCCTGGGCCACTCGCAAGTGTTTGTGAAGGGTGGACAAGTCTGCAGGGAGGTTCTCGTCCGGGCTGGTGCACTGCTGCTCCTGAGCGACGTTAGCCAAGTTCTGCTCGTGAGCCATCAGGCTGTTGGGGATCTTGGTGGACTTCTCTGATTTCACTACCAGGTTGTACTCAGGAGGGCAGGAGATGTTCTTTGGGTAGGCATAGTTGTAGGGAGGCTGCCTAAAGCTGTTGATTTTCCGGTTGCGAATGGCATCTCGGATGGTCCCAAACCCCAGATGAAACATCTCACACATGTTCAGCAATAAGCACAGGCAGCTCACGACGTACATCACCAGGAGAAAGATGGTCTTCTCTGTTGGCCGAGACACAAAGCAGTCCACAGTGTGAGGGCAAGGGACTCTGTTGCAGACGTAATAGGCTTCTACCTCAAAACCGTAGAGCAAATACTGCCCTATCAAAAAGCAAACTTCAAATGAAGCTCTGGTAAGTAGCTGGAAGACATAGATTTTCATCAGTCCTTCTTGCTGGATGCGCCTCCTCCCGTCGTGCTTTTGTTGCTCTTTGCTCTTGGGCTTGGCTTTGGCTTTCTCATGTTCCGCCGTGTCGTCAGAGATCATGGGCTCCTCTTCATCAGCCTCCATCGGGTCCTCCATGTTGCGCACTGCCTGCCAGTTCAAAGCAAACTGCTTCTTCTTCTTGAATCCCTTGAACTTCTTCTCCTCCTCCGCCGACCGGGCGATCCTGTGGATGGCATAGCCCAGGTACATGACTGAAGGGGTGGATATCATGATGATCTGGAAGACCCAGAACCTGACGTGTGACAGCGGCGCGAAGGCATCATAACAGACGTTGTCGCAGCCAGGCTGCTTGGTGTTACAGGTGAACTTGCTCTGCTCATCGGAGTAGATGGACTCCCCACCTACCGCTGTCAAGACAATGCGGAAGACGATGAGCACGGTGAGCCAGACCTTCCCCACGAAGGTGGAGTGATTGTGAATCTCTTCTAGCAGGCGGGTTAGAAAGCTCCAGCTCATGTTGGTCATAAGGGCTACTCAGTTATAACCTGCAGGAAGAGGGGGAAACAAAAAACCATTGGCACATCTGTGATAGATGAAGTCATGTTATCTCAAAGAGGCACCCTTCATTGCTGCAGCCCATCTCCCCAGGACCTGTGACGGAGCTGACCATGACAGCGCAGCATCAGGGAACGAGCCACGGCCAGTGTGGGGACGTGCTGCACCACCTACTAGATTCACCATCACCCACTTTGTTGCCTGTTTCAAGACGTTGCTCAGCTGCAGGAAGAGTTTGGTGACTGTAAAAGTGAGCGCAAGGCACCATGAAAGCCACTTAGGCACAAAAAGGTGCTTAACTTGTGATAATCTCTTGTGTGCATGCCATGAGCTCAAGTGCCTGAGCTGAAAGCGGGAGTAGAGGATGCTGCTCACATCACAAAGACTTGCTCTGCTGAAATATCTTTCATTAGCAAACCCAGAAAAATGCAAAGAATCAACAAAAGAATGGGAATATTTATGTTTACAGGCTGATGGCCCTTTTAAGTTCCTTTTGAAAAAACAAAACAAATGTTTAATCAAATGCAGACTGTTTTAAAAATAAACCTTGAAAAGCTCTCAGAGAAAACCATGCATTTATTAGAAGACCTGGACAGCTGGGGAGGAAGAGCTTGTAGTAACCATTTTGTGTTTAGCTTAACACACAATGGGGCCTCAGCCCGAGCTCCTTGGGTCACCCCAGGCATCATTAAAGGCAGGCAGCAATTTTACTGCCTGACTGGCAGCAGCCCTGGCAGATACCTGGGGGTGAGAGCAATAGGGAAAGCACCCAGACCCAAAGAGCACCGTGGTGAGGGGCAGTGGGGCTCTCACCCCAGGGCAGCGCAGAATGGGCTCATCCTTTCTGTTCCCCTGCATCCCTCCTCTGAATCATCCTCCGGCTCGTTACGGAGTTTACCCACCTCGTTTCCACGCAGACAACTGAACGGCAGGCAGTAAATTAGGTGTTTGCGAGCCCAATCCTACCCATGAACTGATGCCTAGCAATGCATCCAGAAGCAAAGAGTGGATGTGTTGGTGGCGGACGTAGAAGCCAAGCCCATGAGCATGGAAATGAGCAATTTAGCATGGGGTAGCACATGGCAACGGTGTGTTATGGCTCAGCAGTAGCTGCCCCAGCACAGGCTACTTCCCTGTGGTCCTCCATGACCAAACGGAGGAAGAGAAAGGAGCTGTTGACCATGTGTTGAAAGAGTATGGACACCAAGCCTACCCCTCCATGCTGGGTGAGCATGGCTGAGTGGAGGTTAATATCCAGGAGGGAAAAATGATGCCATGAGACATGAGCATGGTCCTAACCTGGCTTTGCACCACTTTTACACAGAGACACAAAGTTATGCCCTAGGGTTTCCATGGCACAAGCCGGGCTTTGAGCCCATCACCCGTGCCAGACGCAGGGTGGGAGCAGCCACCAGCATCAGCCAGGGGCACAGCCCCACGCGGGAGCAAGAAGGGGAACGTGCCTTGCTCTGTTCTCCACATCAAGCCTTTCTGGAATGTGATTTTGCTCACACTGCTTCTTAGGACGGGAGCCAAACAGCGCTGGTTTGCTCAGCGCTCGCCTTCGCGCTGCCCCGGGAGTTAGCAACATGGTCTGAGGCTCGAGATGCAGCAAAATTCTTCCGCTGTCCAGGGCTCTCGAGAGCAGGCAGATGGAATTTTCTAACCCTGCTATTTCTAGATCAAACAAATCCCCTGCGAACTCAAACCCCCAAGTCTTCACACGCCAGACCGAGACTGCGGGAGCACTCTGCAGATGGTGGTGAGGGGTGTTATTCTTGTCCTGTGGCTGGGGAAACTGAGGCAGGGAGCAGAGAAACAGTTCACTCCAGGCTAGGTAATAAGCCAGAAGAAGAGGTGGGGAAGGTCTCCTCTCTACCCTCAACTTACCTGGTGAAGAACAACAGCCCTCAAAGCTGCTGGGACCAGAATCTCCATCTGCTGCCCCAGAAGCGATGCCTTGGACCCAGTGGTCAGTACAGAAATGCTGCTGCAGATGAGGACAATTCATCCACTACAGAAAACCGTGGAAAGCAATTGCCACAGACCCATTCTTTATTTATTGAGGAAATTGGATTTATTCAGGGGTGAGATGGGAAGGCATCCCCTCTGAGTGCCTTTTTGCTTCTTCAGACTCAACAAATACACTTTAAAGTGTCATTAACCCTTCCTCTGATTTGTGCCCACATTCGGATATGGGCAAAACAGGGCGTTCAATGATTTGCAATGATTTGATCTGGTCACTCGGCCAGGCTTCAGCTGGCAGGGGGCTGGGAAGGGAAGACCCTGCTGGGTGCAGCGATGGCCAGCTACGGGACACGGTGCATCCATCTGGAGCATCCGGGTCCGGCCGAGGCAGGGCTGGGTCTTAGATAAAGCACACATCAGCCCCAGCTTGGCTGGCCCCATGTGGGCATTCAGCCACCTCCCGGCTCCTATTTGCATCCCCAATTAGTTGCAAGCCCTAAATTGTTCAAAAACACAGGCTTCAAATGTCCTGTAGAGCAGTTCATTTATAATTTCAGTGCTCACCTAAAGGGTTTCTGAGGTCTACACCAGGGATAATTTACCATTTTGCAAGTGTTGCTCAAGGACAGTTTTGCTGGGGCAGGGAGGGTCTGACCAAGGTAGTGGTGGCTTTTGAAGTAAATATTCAAATTTTGATCTGATATTAGTCAGGGTTGTTAGCAAAGCACCCATTGTCTCCTCTGGGAAACACGTTTTGGAAAGAAGCACCTGACAGCCTTGGTTCAAAACACTCACAAACCTCCCAAGTCGGGGAGAAGGAAAGAAATTGCAAAATAATTGAAGTGGTGGGCTGTTGCTTTGAGAAGACCACCTCTGGTTACCAGCCACCAGACTGAGCTGTTGCTCCTGCGGCTCAGCCCTCTGTGCACATCTGGATCTGTAGGAACATCTGCAGGAAACAGCCTCGAGCTGTTTCTGCACCCCTGGGACCCCACTGTTGCCTCTGTGTATGATCACACCTTGACGTTGTTACACTCCTGTGTGTCCACCCACTCTCCTGGCACTGTATTTGAAAGCAGGAGCTGAAGGAAATGAGTTTAAAAAAACCCCTCCTACCATCAGTTCAGTTAAACTTCCAGTGTTTTTTGCAAGTCACTGGCTAGAAAGACTATACAATGAGATTTCAATGCCTTTAATTGCTTCGGGGGTGCTTAGTACACCATTATATTTTGGAATCAATTATAAAGCAAACAGGCTTCCAAGGAAGGATTTGTTCACGTTGCTTTTGCTAGTGAACAGGATGGTACTAGGAAAAAAAACATGTTTCATCTCCTCACAATGCCAACTATCAAAGCACACAGAAAAAAAATGGATTTTTGCACCTTCTGTGTGCTTCAGACCTAATTCCTCCATGCAATGGAAAAGTTACACAGTCCAGCTCCCTGGGGAAATAAACCTGTATGGCTCTGCAGCAGGTAGATGGATTAGATTAGGTGGTTCATGTAGTTAAATTACCTGCTGGAAGGATTGCATGAGAGGACCCACCATCCCTCATCCATTCATTCACAGCCATCTATCTTCACGCGTCGTCTCCAGATTAGCTGACGTGCAGCGTACGAAACGCGCGTGAGGTACAAGTTGTTGAAACAGCTATAAAGGAGGATTTGGACCGCTCAACCCACCAGCAGCACTAAAAATAGTGAAAATAGTGTGTAGCCAGGTACAGGAATGAGCTGTTGGCTCCATGATCTCATCATGGTTACTTCCCAAAACCCGCTGACCCCTCTGTGCGATCTCAGGCACAACTGTTGGAATGGGGAAAACTTTAAAACCTGAGTCTAAAATAAGCAGAAGCAGCAAATAAATAAATATATAATTATCTGTGCTAGCTGGATGTCCTTCCTTTCTGCACTGTTCCACACTGTTGCTTAAACTGCAAGGAAAAGAACGGGGGGGTGAAAAAAAATCTACTTACAAAGACATGGTACTTCTCGCGGCGGCTTTCCCTCCTCCGCCGACATTCCTGTGCCGCCAGCCCTCCGCCTTGCCCTAGATAAACTCCCGCCGCCTCGGTCCAGCCATGCCCCAGCAGTTGGAAACCGGAGCTCAAGGGAAGTATTTAACGTGATGTCAAACCCCGCCTCTGCCGGGCACCCAACGCTGGAGGTCCTGCCTGAGCTGGACCCCTACGGTGGGTCCCACCGCCGCTCCTGGCCCCTCTTTCCCGTGCCAAGCCTTGGGAGAAGGAGGGAAGGTGCTCTATATATATCCCGAGGAGGAAAGGGGCATTGGTTTTAAATCCAAACAAGCCGACGGGTCTGGTTTTAGGAACGCTGCCTGGAATTTTGCTGCTGAGCTCTTGAGCCGGTTGGAAGTAAATTAACAGCATCAGCTAGTGGCACTGGTAACAGATTTGTAAGACAGAGAGCATGACTAATAGGGAACATATGTGGAAAACACATTTTGGCAAAAGTTCCTTGGTTGCTGGGGAAAAAAAAAAAATAAAAAAAGGAGGCAAGGCTCACTAGTGAGAAAAAACACTCTGAAGCTCCTGCTTTGTTGCACCCCCCAGGTGAGGCTTTCTCAGAAAGAGGTGGTGGACCTTTCTCCAAGCTGGTGGATGGGAGCAGAGGGCAGAAGAAGGATGGTGAAGGGTTTTTGAGCATACTCAGAGACTTTTTTGGCTTCTTTGCAGAAGCAAGAAGAAATAAGAAATATAGGAATGTACATGAAGCCTAAGGCAAGTGGAGAAGGAACCCTCCATCCTGATGGTCCAAGGATCGCCTCTCGTCCCTGCTCTGTCTCTGGGGAGCTTTGGCATTGCCACCCCAGCAGGATCAGGGCTCCAGGTGGCTGCTGAGATGGAAACGGAGAGAAAAGGCAGAAAGTCTGCCCAAGGGTCAGCGAGGAGGAGAAGGAAGCAACAGCAGCAGCCAAGAAATCACGAAAATGATCAGACCCAGTCTTTGAGGGGAGAAAGCATGGGGAGATGGACATTTTGATCAAGGGGGACGTT